CATCCGGACGCCTGGGTCCATGTTCCCCCCCCCCGGATGCCTGCATCGATCCCCTTACCCCATTGGGGTATAGTGGGGTGTCTCTATTTATTATTTAAAAAAATGTAAGAGTTCCCTGCTATGTTGGTCTGGAGGGGCTGGGGAGGCTCAGGAGGGTACAGAGGGAGAAGGGGGAAAGTTCCTATTCCTATTCTCATCCCTGTTCCTGTCCCCCTCCCCGTCTCATCTCTGTCTCCATCTTCATCCCCATCCCATCCTATCCCACCTCTATCTCCACCCTCCTCTTCATCCCCATCCCAAACCCATCCCATCCCCATTTCACCCCATCCCTGCCCTCATCCCATCTCCATCCCAGATCCATCCCATCCCCATACTCATCCCATCTCCATCCCTGTCCCTGTCCCCATCCCATCTCCATCCCCATCCTATCTCTGTCTCCATCTTCATCCTCATCCCATCCCATCTCCATCCTGATCTTTATCCCCATCCCAAATCCATCCTGTTCCCATCCTCATCTCATCCCATCCCTATTCCATCTCATCCCCATCTCTGTCCCCATCCCATTTTCATCTCCATCTTATCCCCATCCCATCTCTGTCTCCATCTTTTTCCCCATCCTCATCCTCATCCCATCCCATCCCATCCCATCCCATTCCCATCCCATCCCATCCCCTTCCATCCACATCCTGATCCCCATCTCCATCCCCATCCCCACCCCATCCCCACCCCATGACAGACAGGCCCAGGCCATCAGGACACGGGGGTTTATTGAACCAGGACCACGGTCCCCAGCACGGGGCTGTCCCCACGGCCACTGTCCCTGGTCACTCACGCCACTTGCAGGGCCAGGCGCCGCTTGATCTTCTTCTTGAGGAGCAGCAGGTCCAGGTAGAGCAGGCGGCCCAGGACGGTGGAGGCGCAGATCAGCCCCCCATGCAGGGCCCCTGCCAGCCCACAGCTGAACACGTCCTGCCCTGGGGATGAGCCACGGTGGGATACGGCCACCCAGGGGGGACACAGACACCCCCAGGGGGAACACGGCCACCACCATTGGGAACACGGCCACCACCATTGGGAACGCGGCCACCACCATTGGGAACATGTGGTGAGCATGGGTCACCCTGACACTCTGTCCCCATCCCCAACTCTATTCCCAACCCTGCTCCTGTCCCCATCCTTATCCCCATCCCATCTCTGTCTCCATCTTCATCCCCATCCCATTTTCATCCTCATCCTCATCCCCATCCCATTCCACTTCCACCTTCATCTCCATCCTCATCCTCCTCCCATCCCCATCCCATCTCTGTCTCCATCTTCATCTCCATCCCACCTCCATCTTCATCTCAAACCCATTTCCATCCTATCCCATCCCACCTCCACCTCCATCTCCATCTCCATCCTCATCCTCCTCCCATCCCCATCCCCATCCCCATCCCATCCCATCCCATCCCTATCTCCACCCTCATCTTTATCCATGGCCACCACCATGAAGGACATCCCCGCTGCAGAGAGCCTGTGGGGACACTGGGCACGGGGACAGAGGGACAAGGGGCCATCACAGGGACACAGTCCCTTACCCGTCAGGTAGAGGTTCTTCACGGGTGTCTCAGCTCTCATGGCAGCCATCACGGCGGGGTTGAAGCGGCCGACGTCGTGCTCGGCACCGTACATCTCCCCACGGGGTGCCCCCAGGTAGTGCTGGTTGGTGAGCGGCGACGCCGCCTCCACGAATTCCACCTGCCCAGGCAGGGACACATGAGGTGCTTGGAGCAATTTTGGAGGGCATGGGTAGACCCATCCCATCAACAGGTCACACCACACCACGTCTGAGCCTACTTGGGGGTGCCCACCCCATGTAAAGGTGCTGGGGGCTGTGTCCCCGCTGGGCACCCTGTCCTGTTTGGCTCATCCCCATTGGGCACCCTGATCCCAAAGGGCACCCTGTCCCCACCGAGCACATCCCTGCAAGGCACCTTGACCTCAAAGGGCACCCTAACCCCTCAGGACATCCCATCCTATAAGGCACCCCATTACCAGGAGGCACCCAAACCCTGCTGGGAACCTCCTTCAAACTGGGCACCCCAACCCCACAGGGCACTCGATCCTGCCTGGGCACCCAGTCCCCACTGCACCCCATGTCCAATCTGCACCCATGGCCACGGGGCACCCCAACACTTCAGGGCATCCCAGTCCCACTGGGCACCCCAACCCTACTGGGCACCCGCATCCCACAGGGCACCCCATCCCCACTGCACACCCATCCCTGTGGGACATCTCAACCCCATAGATCCTCCTCCCACTCCTGCCAAACACCCCGTTCCCAAATACCCCCTCCCTGCCAGGCACCCCACATGGCAGGGGACACCATGGAGACCCCGTCACCTTGTCGCGGAGCTGGGGGAAGCGCTGCAGGGCCCGCTCCAGCAGGCGCTGGGCGATGGCCATCTTGTACCGCTGGTACTCGGGGCCGCGGTGCTTGGCGCGGGTCCCGGCCCATTCCTCAAACCACTCGTATCGTGCCATGGTCAGGATGGTCATGCACGACCGGCCTGAGA